ACACACACACACACACACACACACACACACACACACACACACACACACACACACACACACACACACACACACACACACACGCACACACACATATACACATACACATACACACACACGCGCGCACACACACACACACATACACTCTCCTCTTGTTGTGCTTCTCTCTGTTCCTTGCCCAACATACCCTGCCCATGGACGCTGACGAGTTTGTGGCGTTTGTTTGCTTGCAGGTAAAAGCGGTGGGGAGGTCATATGAGCCTGGCTCGCCCCCTTGCACAGGCTTCTTCTTCACAAACCGACGACTCTGGTGGTGGTGGTGGTGGTGACGATGGTGATGATGGTGTGATGACGATGGTGAGGATGAGGAGAAAAAAAAAGGAAGGAGGGGAAGCGAGGGCAAGGATGAGTGATGGGGGAGGCAGATACACTGGTGTGGCTAGCGGATGGAACACACATTCAACGTTCACACAGAGACACATTGACGGACGCATGCACGCACCTTGGAGGCAAAGGAGCCGGAGCCCTTCTTGGAGGTGGACTCCGGGTGCACCTGCAAGGCGCCGAGCCGCTTGTGGGCATTGTACGTTGTCGAAGGCGGCGTTGGCTGTGAACAAGCAAGCATCCCCACGTACACACGCAAGAGTAGGGGTACACACAGTCGAGGCACGGTAAGACGGTGCGCTCTTGCAACGATGAAAGCTGTGCGTTACACACACACACACATGTGCACACACATGAACGTACATGCACACACACATGAACGCACATGTGCACACACGAACGCACTGCATTGCCGACACGCGTAGTGTGCAACCAACACCAGAACATACCGATGCCGCTTGCTGCTGAAACCGGCGCGCGGTGGAGGAGAACCCCTTTGGCGAGGAGCCTGCGGCATTGTTCATCATCACGTGCTTGATGGGCGCGTTGGAGGCCGTGCCCGGCGGAATCGATGGCGGACCACGTTGCTGTCGTTGGTAACGCACGTGTTGGTTGCGACGGATGTCAGGCAAGACATAACGCGGTGGCAGAGGGGTTGTGGTGGCGCGTGATGACGGGGTGTCAATTCACAAGAAACATGGCACAAGAAACAAGGCACAAGAAACAAGGCACAAGAAACAAGGCACAAGAAAGGCTCATAGCTCCTCTCACAGCATTCACACACACACACACACACACACACACACACACACACACACAGCATTCACACACACACACACAGAGCATTCACACACACACACACACACACGCACCACGAGCAGGGTTGGCGGCGGTCGCGCGGAGGACGTGCGAGAGGCGCGAATGGATCGCGTCGATCCCATCTGCTGTTGGTGCATCATTCTTTGTTGTCACCGTGGTCAGGTAGCTTGTCACACACATACACACACAGAGGCAGGAACGATGAGGACTGCTGGTGCAGCTTGGTTGGCGTCGATGCTGTGTTCCTTCTTGTTGTGCTTGGCAACAACTCCACTCGCTCTCGTTCGTTGTTTTGGTCAGGAAACACGCGAAAGGCAAAATTGACTTGTGTGGCAAAGAGGAAAGTTGCCTTTGCCTGCTTGCAAGCATTTTGATTCATCCGTGGCACTTCTCAAATCACTCGCCATTTTGCTGCTGGCAGGAGTTGCCTTCTTGCCTGGCTGAACACACACCCAGCACAGCGAGCACACCTCCACGACGTACGTGAGCCTGCTCTTGGATGAGACGATGGCACACCACGCCAGCAAGAGCATGAGCAGCTTCGAGGGCTATGACATCTTCATCTCCCTGCGCATTGCGGAGGCAGGGCATGCCGGTCGAGGCCTGGCGGACGCACTCAGGGCGCATGGCCTCCGCGTGTTTTTGTGCGAGAGCGTGCCGGATGACAACGCTGCCGCGGCTTCGATCAGAGCTTTGCACACATGCAAGCTGGCTGTGCTGCTGGGCACACGCACCTACGGACAGCAAACCAATAGCACGTTCAACACGAACCGCATCCTCAAGTACGTCGTCAACCAACACAAGCCGTTCTTCCTCGTGCGCATGTGCGACGGTGACTTTGCTGAGCCCGAGGCACAGTTCTATCTGACCACCAGCGGCGCAGCGCAATATCGCTGGGTGCCTGAGCGCGGAGACACGCCAGCCATGCCAGTGCCCGCAGACATGGTGGACCAAATCCTGGCGAAGCTTCAGGTGTGTGCGGTTGTTTGTGTGTTTGTTATTTGTTTGTGTTTGTCTGTTTGTGTTTGTTGTTTGTGTGTGTGTGTGTGTGTGTGTGTGTGTGTGTGTGTGTGTGTGCGTGTATTTGTTTAATTGTGTGCATGTGGCTTTCATGCCTCTTAGTGCGTGCCTTTTGGAGGATTTCCAATTGAATTGCGCATCATCTCACACGTCATGCGTGTTCCCTATGGATATTTCGCTCGTGTCATGTGCTGCTTGTAAACACAATTGCGGTCACATGTGTGCAACGGGCTATGCCTTTGGCGCGAATGCTGCGTTGTTCATCGTTGTTCATCGTTGCAGCAGGCAGTATGGGTCTCGACCGAACACGATGTGGGGCAGCAGAGTGGCGCACACGCTGCGGCACCACGTCCGTACTGGCAGCCCATCACCGTCGTCGCCTCACGGGCCACACACCAGCCAGGGCCAGTGCCCGAGTCGGTCACGGACCTACAAAACCCTTCGTTTGCTGCATCTGAAACCGACGCAAGGGTGAGCGCCAGCTTTCCTTTGCTGGGCTATGAGCACAACGCCACTGGCCGTGGCGCCAATGCCTTGTGGTACGAGCAACTCGGTTCAGCCTCCGCCGACGTACATGCAGACAAGAACCGCGGAGCACGTGCCATCAGCGACAGCAGCCGCCTCGTCAAGCCCATTGTCATTGCCGGCAAGCACCTGGTCGAGGATGATTCTGACGACGACAACTTGGCCGACATTGCAGTAAAGCATGCTTGGAGCTGGACGAGCTGGACGAGCTGGACGAGCTGGACGAGCTGGAAGGCCAAAGCCCTCCTGGCCGTCTTGATTGCTGTGGTTGCCGCGGTGTGCGTTGCTGTGCCCGTCGTCTTGTCGATGGACCGCTGCAAACACTTCTACGGCACCCATGGGGAGATTTCCGCCTTGGATTATTCCAGCAGGCAGGTGACGTGTGTTGACTTTGTCAGCATCAAGCACGTGCGTGGCGACGTGCGTCTTCAAGACAATGTCGCCCTGACCAGCGTTGACTTTGATCGCATTGTAAGCGTGGATGGATACGTGCACTTCGAAGACAACCCGGCCCTGACCAGCGTTGACTTTGGTCGCATGGTCGGCGTCGGTGCAGACATCAGATTCTACCAAAGCTCCAGTCTCACCCAGGTTGTCGTCGACAACATCACCAGCTTGGGCGGGTACATACGCTTTTCCTCCTGCCGAGCGCTCACAAGCGTCAACTTTGCCAGACTTGCCGCCAGCTTTGACGGCGGCATCGACTTCGTCGGCAACGATGCGCTGACAAACGCCAACTTTGGCCGTCTTGCCAGCGTTGGCGAGGATTTGATGTTTCGGTTCAACGCTGCCCTCCCAAGTATCAGCTTTCCAGCCATCACGCACGTGGGAGGCTGCGTCCGGCTTGAACACAACGACGCGCTCACAAGCATTGACCTTGGCAGTCTCACAAGCGTGGGGGAATATGTCTCCATCCTCGGTAACGACAACCTCACCACCGCCAACTTTGACAGTCTCTCCAATGTGGCCGAATACGTCTTCTTTGGCCACAACAACGCGCTCACCACGATTGACTTTGGCGGGCTCAGAGACGTGAGGAAACACATCTACCTCCACAACAACGATGCCCTCACCACGATTGACTTTGGCAGTTTCATGCGTGTGAGGACAGACATCAGCCTGTCCTACAACGTCGCCCTGACCAATGTGGCCTTTCGCGGTGCTCTCAGCGTAGATGGAGACCTCAAACTTATCGACAACGCCGCTCTGCCCAGCATTGACTTTGGCAACGTGACGCGCGTGGGCGGGGACATTAAGCTCTACAGCAATGACATCCTCACAACCGTCGACTTTGGCCACATCACCAGCGTGGATGGAGACATTATCATCTCTGCTAACGATATGCTCACCAGCATTGATTTTGGCAACATGACGCATGTGGGTGGAAAGATTGACCTCTTCTTCACCCGCGCGTTGACTCACGTGGACTGCAAGAACGTGAATGCCACGTGTGTGGATACTCACTCCGGCTTGTCCCTCATCAACTGCCCTGAAGAGTGCTAGGATGCGTGTGTGCGTGCGTGTGTGCGTGCGTGCGTGTGTGTGTGTGTGTGTGTGTGTGTGTGTGTGTGTGTGTGTGTGTATGTCCTTTTACAAAGAAGCCTGGCAAGAGGGCAAGCGCTTGCGGGGTTGATACGAAGGTCCACTCTCCTCGCATGGCGTTGTTCTTACATGTTCTCCTTGTAGCCTTGTCTCCACGGTTTTTTTTTTTTCAAGCGTCGCCCCTTGCTTCAAGCTGTTGTCACCTCTTGCGCTGTTGCCGCGCTTTGCTTTGTTGCTTCTTTGCTTCAACATGCTTTGCCGGGCATATTCAATCGTCATTTTGTCTGCGTCAGTTACGGTTACGACGCCGTTATCTACACATCCACTGTCGTTGTTGTTGCACATTGTGTTGCGTGCTCTGTGCGGGTGTTCTCTCTCTCTCTGTCTCTCGCTGTCTCTCTCTCTCTCTCTGTCTCTCTGTCTGTCTTTCTCTGTCTCTCTCGCGCGCACGTTTTGTGTGATACGCACGCACACCACGACCAGTATGTTGTCACATTGTTCACGCACACGCACACGCATAACTTGTTACATCTCACATGCCGCTGTTGTGCTTCGTTACATGTCTCACCCCCAACCATTGGGTCTGTTATTATCGCGTGTAGTCTGCACCAAACCGAACACACAAAAGAAACACTGCCAACACTGGCTTGGTTGTATTTATCACGAGCCTGGACTCTCAACATGCGGACGTTGTTGGCAGCGCGTTTCAAGTACACACGTGCGTGAACACATGAACGGGATCACACGCACGTGGGCGAACGCATAAAAGCGATCACACGCACACAACCAGACACACACGCACACACACACACACCCCCCTCTCCCTCCCTCCCTCTCCCTCACCCTCGCCCACATCAGCCAACAATGTCGGCGAGGAGGTTGCGGACGTACGTCATGTCGCCATCGCCAAGCAGCACCACGTCATACCGCTGCTTGTACAGCTCGAGCCGCTCCTCGCGGTCGTTGAGGAAGCCAACGCTGAGCACGGTGTGGCGGTCAAGCCCCTTGGCCATGCCAATGTCGCCGGCGTTGTCGCCAAGCAGCAGCACGTTGGTGCGCTCCTGCACCTGCTGCCACTCTGGCGAGTCACGCAGGGCCTTGCTGTTCTTGTTGAGGGTGTGGATGAGCTCGCCCTTGAAGCCGGTGAGCTTTCCTTCGTCATCAAACGTCATCATGTTGGACACCACGTGCGCCATGCCCTCCAAGCCGTGCAGCCGCAGGTACACGTGGATGATGTCGTACAGCCCCGCGGAGAAGATGTGGATGGGGACGCCCTTGTCCTTGAGAGACTGCAGAAACTCCTTCACGCCGTCGCGCAGCACCAGCCGGTCGCTGCCCGCCATGTCCTCGAGGTACTCGCGCCGCAGGTCGTGCTTGATCATCAGCTCGTGGCTCTACGTGAAGGCACGTGGGATGTGCGTGTGTGTGCGTGTGTGTATGTGCGTGTGTGTATGAGTGCGTGTGTGTGTGTGCGTGTGTGTGTGTGGGAGTGAGTGGGAGTGAGTGAGTGGTTTGGCTCACGTTGAACTAAAGCAACCTCACGTTGAACTAAAGCAACCTCACGTTGAACTAAAGCAACAACAATAAACAAGAGCAGATGGGTTCCTGCAGCACCTGCGTGCGTTCATTCATGAACATTGACGCACATGCACAAACACCCACGCCTGCACCACGCACGACACACCTTGGTCCACCATTCGATCATGGCCTTTTCCTTGTCCTCGTGAGGAATGTCCGACACCTCAATGGGGTAGTAGTGTTCAAAGTTGGCGCGCGTCTCCGTGGCAAACTGCTCGCTCATCAGCTTTGACATCTCGATTGCTGCGTGCGTACTTGCGCTGCGCTTCCCATCGTCCAGGCGGAACCGCGTCAGCGTGTAATCAAAGTCCGCAATCACCTATAATTCATTGTTGTGTGGGTGGGCGTGAGTACGTGTGCGTTTGCATGTGTGTGCATATGTGTGTGCATATGTGTGTGTGTGTGCATGTGTGAGCGAAGAACAGCAGTCCATGTATGCTTGGTTGTCAACAGACGCATATGAGTGCATGGTTGTCAACAGACGCATATGAAGGACCACCACACATCAACCCCACCATCGCGCACACACAACCACACACACACACACACACACACACACACACACACACACACACAACGCACACACACACAACGCACAACGCACACACACACAACGCACACACACACAACGCACAACGCACACACACACAACCACACCTGCAGATTCTTGGCGCCGTCCTTCTTGAGCTTGGCGACCTTCTCATCAAAGGCGGCCTGATTGCCAATCACAACCTTGACCTCACGGCCGTTGCTCGCTGCTGTATTCTCTGCCATTGTGCCGTTCGTTGGTGGTGGTGGTGCTGTAGTGGTGTCCGTGGGGGGGTGAGTGCGTTAGTGAGTTGAGTGCGTGACGGTGTTCAGATCAGATCCGAGTTGGTTGCTTTGCTTCTTCACTTCTTGCTGCAGAATGCCATCTTCAATCTTCGTCAGCGCTTTTGTTGTTTTTGTTCTCCAAAGGGCAAATTTGACTTTGAGAACAAAAGTCAATTTTGCCTTTGCAGACCCAAGTGAGACCAAACACACGTGTTGACAGCAGCGCCACACAAGACAGAAGCACACACACACACACACACACACACACACACACACACACACACACACACACACACACACACACACACACACACACACACACACACACACACACACACACACACACACACACACACACACACACACACACCACCGGCGATGTCCAGCCATCCACGTGGAGCAGGGCGGGATGATGAAGTGTTCCAAGATGATCGCTTCAAGCACGTACTGACAGACCCACGCTTCAGGGTGAGTTGTGTCTATGTGTGTGTATGTGCGTGTGTATACGTGTGCGTGTGTACGAGACCCGAAGAGCCATACACACAGACACAGACACACACAGACACACACACAGACACACACACACACACACAATAGGGCAGCCTTGCCTCTCTTTGCATTCCTCTCACATCCCACTCTGCTACGACTGCCATCATTGCCAACGCCACCTTTCTGACAGGGCACGCCCAAGAGCAAGAGGCGCGTGGCTGTGGATAAGCGGTTCAAGGCCATGTTCACAGACAAGGACTTCAGCACATTCAGCACGCTGGATCCCCGCGGCAAGCGCGGGCCCGTGACCCTCGAGGACGATATGAGCAAGCTCTACAGCTTGGACGGCATGGAAGATGGTGCCGATAAGAAGAAGAACAAGAACAAGAAGAACAAAGACAAGAAGAAGAAACAGAATAAGACAGAGAAGAAGGAGAAAAAGGGGAAGGGCGACACCAAGGAGACGGAAAAGAAGAACAAGAAGAACAAGAAGAAGCACGCGCAGGTGGAAGCCGAGGATCAGCATGATGGGGACGAGGACCAGAGTGCCGAAGAACAAGAGCAACAACAGATGCAGATGCAGCAGCAGCAGCTGGAAGTTGATGCAGACCTGCTGGTGGACGATGACGAGTTTGATGGCGAAGATGAGGATGATGCAGACAGAGATGGTGGTGATGGAGTGACGATCAACGCTGACAATGACAACAGCGCGGACGACACCGGTGATGACAGCACAACCACGTCTGCCGCTGCCCGCCCATCGCACATCACAGACTCTGCCGTGGACACCAACGACAGTGATGAAGATGATGACAGTGATGAAGATGACAGTGACGAGGATGACAGTGATGAGGAAGAGATGCCGGATTTTGCTCGCGGTGAAGTGCTGATGAGCTCATCGGATGATGACGACAGTGACAGCGACCTCGAACGCCTCGAGAACCAAGTGGTGAGCACCGCTCTGCTTTGTTGTGTGTGCGTGAGATTGTTTGTGTGTGTATGTATGTGTGTGTGTGTGTGTGTGTGTGTGTGTGTGTGTGTGTGTGTGTGTTTGTGTGTGTGTGTGTGCGTGAGATTGTTTGTGTGTGTATGTATGTGTGTGTGTGTCAGCGTGTCTGAGAGGCGTACTTGTGTACATGTTTGCTTGTGTGTTTTGTGCGTCATACGACGCACATCCAGTGACCACGCCACACATCCAGTGACCACGCCACACCACCACCACCACCACCACCACCACCACCACTCCTGCTGCTGGGTGCAGGACGTGTGGGCTGCGCGGGATGCGGAGAACGTACAGCGATCGGACGAGACGAGCCGCCGTCTTGCCCTGTGCAACATGGACTGGGACAACCTCAAGGCCGTCGACCTCATGGGTATGTGGCAGTTGGGGGGCGGGGCGGGGAGTGGTGATTGCTTGAAGGGATGATGGGTGCGGTGTAAGGGGGGGGGAGGTTGGTGTCGCAGTTGGTGATTGGGTGTTTGAGGCGCGTAGTGGTGAGTGTGGGCCAGCCGTGAAGCGTTGACGCAAACATGCACACGCACGCCGTTGCTGTTGCTCTCACCACCACCACCACCACCACACTTGCTGCACACATGTTACATATCAGTGCTCGCCAACTCTTTTGCGCCGACGGGGGGCGTGGTCGAACGTGTGGACATTTATCCTTCCGAATTTGGAAAGGAGAAGCAGAAAATTGAGGACGTGCACGGACCAGGGCTCCTCATCCAGCAACAGCTCCCGGAAGACATGCAGGTGGGCATCGGGAGGAGCGTTTGTTGACTGTTGGTGTGCGCATGTGTATGTGTGCATGTGTGTATGTGTGCATGTGTGTATGTGTGTATGTGTGTATGTGTGTATGTGTGTTGTGTGTGTGTTGTGTGTGTGTGTGTGTGTGCTCTTCATTTCCTCTCCATTTCCTCCCCTCACCACCACCACCACCACCATTATCATCGTGACGATCAGGGAGAGGAGCACGACCAAGAGCGGTTGCGTCTGTATCAGCTGTCGCGCCTCAAGTACTGCTATGCCGTCATCACATGCGACACCGCAGGTGCTGCAATGTTGTTGATGATGGTGACGTGTGTGCGCGCGCGTGTGTGTGAGTGTGCGTGTTGCTTGTTCGCGCTGGCTTGATTTTGCACGCCATGTACACCCTTGCACATGCCCACGAATCCTCACAGCCCCTGATACTCTCCTTGATACACTCCTTGATACACCTCTTGATACACCCCTTGACACGTGTACCACCACCACCACCACCATCGCCACCGCTAGGGACGGCCAATGCGATCTACGAGGCGTGCGATGGCATGGAGTACGAGGCAACGTGTAACGTCATCGACCTCAGGTCAGCGCCGTGGCTGTGATGCTGTCTGGTGCAGTGTTGTTGGTGCAGTGTTTTCGGTGTGGTGTTGGTGTGGACGATACGTGTGCTTCCCCTCATGATGTGCGTGTGTGCGCGTGCTGTACGTATGTGCGTGTGCGCGTGTGCGTGTCATCAGGTTTGTTCCTGACGAGACGACGTTTGACGATGAGCCCGTCGATTCGGCGACCACTCTCCCAACAGAGTCATACACCCCGCTCGGGTACGCCATGGTGATGATGGTGGTGGTGGTGGTGATGATGATGATGATGATGATGATGCTGTTGCGAGTGTGCTGTGCTGTACTAGCTCAATCATGACTGCATATACGACGCATTGCACATTTCACCTGACTCACGCCATCACCACCACCACCACCACCATGTGCTTTGCGACTGCTGCGGTGTGAAGATTCACAACACCGGCACTTCAGAACTCGCAAGTGAAACTGACGTGGGACAAGGACGATGTGCAACGCGTCGCCATCACCCGCAGGAAGTGAGATCCCCTGCCCAAAACACACGGATGGATGGATAGATGGATGGGTGGATGGGTGGATGGGTTGATGGATTGGGAGGCTCGCTTGCTTGCAGGCATGGCTGTGCCCGTGTTTGGAATACAGAACAACTCAATGCCATCATGTGCACACTGCGCCATCTATCTTACGATCTCTCTCTCTCTCTCTCTCTCGCGTCTGTGCCACGTTGCGCCCAGGTTCACAAAGGAAGATCTGCGTCAGATGGACTTTGATGCGTATGTGGCGAGCGAGAGCAGCGACGATGATGACGATGATGCTGCCGACAGAAAGAGCGCATACAAGGTGACTACTACTGCTGCTGCTGTGTGGTGTGGGGAGCGGTGTATGTGCGTGTGCGTGCGAGCGTGTGTACGCGGGCGTGTGCATGAATTTGTTGCAGCGGCTGTGGTATCTGTTCTGTGTGGCTGATCGGTGTGATGACGTGATATGCCTGGACGGTGTGCACTCTGTCTCTGCACACACACACACACACACACACACACACACACACACACACACACCACACACATACACACACACACGCACACACACACCTTACACGCATACATTGCACACTTAACATGCATGCAAACATGGTGTGATACCAAACGCAATGTTGCCTTTACCCTCCCCAAACATTGCAGGCGTTGTTGAGCGCTGCAAAGAACAAGCAGCGGGACAAGAGCCAGGAGATGACGGTGACGTGGAACACGGGACTGGAACAAGTGTCCGCTGATCTCGTTGCTAAGGCCAAAAAGACGCGTGAGGAGGCAGGCCTCTCCATCGCAGAAAAGTCAGCACAAACACATGCACACACGCACACACATGCACACATGCACACGTGCACACGTGCGGAATGCACGCACATGTGTTGATTGCGCTGGTTTTTCTGGTCGTTCTTTGTGTGTATGTGTTTGTGTTTGCGTGTGCACGTGCGAAACTTGATCCAGTGTGACTCGCCAATCAACTGCCATCGCCACCCTCATTGTCACCACCCATCGATATCACCACCACCACCATCATCGCCACGACGACGACAACTGCCACCACCACCACCACCACCATCATCGCCACGACGACGACAACTGCCACCACCACCACCACCATCATCGCCACGACGACGACAACTGCCACCACCACCACCACCATCATCGCCACGACGACGACAACTGCCACCACCACCACCACCATTACTCACGCCATCGTGACTGTCGTGTGTTTGCGCATCAAGGGTGGAGCGGCTGCGGAAGGAAAAGAAGGCGGCGCGGCGGAAAGCGGTGAGCGCGCGCGATGGACGAGCTTTGAGTCAGGATTGGAGAGGGTGATGGTGTGTCGTGTGCCGTGTCGTGTAATGTTGGCACATTCGTACACACACACACACACACACACACACACACACACACACACACACACACACACACACACACACACACACACACACACACACACACACACACACACACACACACACACACACACACACACACACACACACTCTCTCTCTCTCT